GAAATGCTGGAAAATAATACAGGAAAAAGATCCCAAATATACATCTAATCTAGATATGATGTTCTTCATTAAGTCAGTTGCTAATTAACATATTCATTAATACCTAACAATTATTAAATGAACAAAATGTCATGTGCTGCAAAAACCATGTTTAATATTTTCAGTCGTTGAGGCTAAAAACAAGTAAAATTATTAATAAAGAGAGAATTAAAATTTCCCGTTTTTACATATTTACCGGACACCCATCTGATTACCAGACGGTATTTACCGCCGGTAATTACCGCCACCGGTATTTACCGCCCAACCCTGACCTTTGACCTTGTGACCTGGAATTTGTGTCATATGATTTGTGATACTTGATAACCCTTGGGTACAAGTTTCATGGAATTTGAACAATTTTGAAAATATGCTAAAACTTCAAAATCTTGATGTGAATGCCACAACAAAGTCTAAGGTTTGTTGACCTAAAATGACCTTTGACTTTAACTTAGTGACCTGAAATTCTACTCACATGATTGGGGATACTTGATAACTCTATAGTTCAAGTTTCATTGACGAAGAACTTACACTTTAAAATTTATATCAAAAAATCAAAAATTCAACCTTAGGTTAAGTTTCGATGATGATGCTACAACATAGTCCAAGTCTGTTGACCTGAAATGACCTTTGACCTTGACTTTATGACCTAAAATTATACTCACATGATTGGGGACACTTGATAACCCTGTAGTCCAAGTTCCGTTGAATAAGAACTTACACTATAAAAATTATTTCAAAAATCCAAAACTTAACCTTTGATGTTGATGCCGTCGCCGCCGCGCCGCCGTCACCGGAAATAAAGCGGCGCCTATGTCTCGCTTTTTGCTACGCAGGCGAGACAAAAAATTATTTACAATAATTACCTAGTAAAACACAAGTGAAGACATTTATAGAAGAACATTGATTGCCTAGTGAGGCTCCAATAGAAACAAAATAGTCATCGCACAACTCTGTAATTCTTATATCGTCATAAATGTTGTCATCTTAATTTAATATATATTCAGGAATGACACAATGGGGTTTCCTCCTTATTATTTAATTAATACACTTCCCAAGTCTTTTGGATATTGCCTCTCACGGACTGAAACTTATTTAAATAATATTCCTTTGTACATATCTTATATCTTTATTCAGCTTATTCCGAAATGTTTCAAAATTAGGTCAAATGTGACTGACAAAGAAGCAATATAATCAAATATATTTTGTATTGTATTGTATTTTGTATTTATTAACATTTATTTCCTTCTCAACAGCACAATATAAAACACAATGTATATATACATGATATATGTAACAATTATTTCAACATAGAGTATACAGTAATTAATTCAGATACGGAAGGAGGCGAAAACCCGGAAAGCGTAGCTTGAGTTGGGAACGCCCATAATAAATTAACACAGTTACCGAAAGAACATTATAGATATTATTATGAAAATTACATTGTATATAATAGAACGTTGATAGGAAAGAAAAAAAATAGTGAAAGGAAGAGAGGAGAGAATTAAGTATAGGAAGGCATGTTCACTTATTAAGAGAAAGTTACATCAATTGGGCTGTACATGTGTCTGCGATTACATCATAAAGATAACGAAGTACAATTGTAAAATAGACAGCGGGTACATATCATTACAAACAAGCAAAATCATCAAACAGACAACAGCTTTATCCGACAGCATTGTCCTGGGAATATACAGATGGTTCTAGCAACAAGTTATCAAAGTAAATAAATAATCGTTAATACAAACATGTCATTAAATTCCACAAAAGATCATTTCACACATAAATACAAGAGAGGGTATCAATATCGAGCAATTAAATACATTTTTGCCTTACGGGAAAAAGTCTGCAAGGAGAGCGATTTGTGTAGAATAGATGGTAAGGTGTTCCAAAATTTTGGCCCAGAGTATCGAATGTCAAATTGAAATCTTCGGGTTCTATGTTTAGGGAGACGAATGTTGGCAGCGCTTCTCGTATTATACGTATGGGTTTCCGAGTTGCATTTAAAATTGATAAAATCACTAAATTGTGATGGGAAGATGTTATTCATGCTTTTATACATGAAAATACCCTGTTGGTGCAAGTTAATATCACTGAATCTCAAGAAAATAATTTGTTTAAAGATGGGACCAGTATGGGAACGATAGTGCATTCCGGATATTATACGAATAATCTTCTTCTGCAATAGTATAAGCTTTTGTATTTTGTACTTGCAGGAATTCGCCCAAACAAGATTACAGTAAGAAAAATATGGAAGTATAAGAGCACAATATAGCATACGTAGAATGTGATTGGGCAAGAGATGTTTGAGTCTGGATATAATGCCAATGTTTTTGGACACCTTACTTTCAACTTCGTGAATATGGTATTTCCAAGACAAGGAACTATCTAAATAAACACCAAGAAATTTGACTTTATCTACCCTTGGCAATATGACATTATCAAGAACAATATTGAAATCATTTAAATCTACATTCTTTCCATTGTGAAAAATCATATAATTACATTTCTTTACATTTATAGATAATTTATTAGATTTGAACCATTCACATATATATGTAAGACCTGCATTTACTGCATCCATAAGAGACTTCAAGTTTGAATCTCTGTGAAATATGTTTGTGTCGTCTGCATACAGTATAAAAGACAATTCATTAGCAGATTTATAAATATCATTCACATATAATATAAATAACAATGGCCCAAGCAGGCTACCCTGTGGAATTCCGCATGTTATTGTTCTAAACTCCGAAATAGAAGATTGATATTTGGTACATTGTAATCGATTGTTAAGATAACTTGTGAAAAATTTAAGAGCTACACCACGTATTCCATAACGATATAGTTTAGATAGTAAAATATTGTGATTAATTTTGTCAAATGCCTTAGACAGATCTATACAGATCTATACAAACTCCAATTGCAAATTCGTTCGCCTCAAAGGCGTCTATGACTTTACTAGAAAGACTGGTAAGAGCCATACATGTTGAATAATCCCTACGGAAACCATATTGATGTTTATTGAGAATAGAATGTTTGTCAAGGAATTCAATAGTTCTTTTATAAACAATGCGCTCGAATAATTTAGAGAAGACTGAAGATATGAAAAATGTACAGGAAGGTTCATCATGAGGACTTCTGTCTCATGAATATACAAAATGTTCATGAGATCACTGTCTCCTAGAAAGTACAAAATGTAGCAAATTGTCTCATTAAATGGAGTTCATCAGTTGTACATGAAAATTACAGGAAAAATTTTGTCTCATGAATATTCAAAATGTTCATGAAAATCACTGCCTCATGAAAAGTACAAAATGTAGAAGATATGAAAAATGTACAGGAAGGATCATCATGAGAAATTCTGTCTCATGAATATACAAAATGTTCCAGAGATCACTGTCTCCTAGAAAGTACAAAATGTAGCAGATATGAAAAATGTACAGGAAGGTTCATCATGAGAACCTCTGTCTCATGAATATACAAAATTTTCATGAGATCACTGTCTCCTAGAAAGTACAAAATGTAGCAAATTGTCTCATTAAATGGAGTTCATCAGCTGTTGTACATGAAAATTACATGAAAGATTTTGTCTCATGAATATTCAAAATGTTCATGAAAATCACTGCCTCATGAAAAGTACAAAATGTAGAAGATATGAAAAATGTACAGGAAGGATCATCATGAGAAGTTCTTTCATAATAATATTCTTCCTTAGGCTACGACAATTAAAATTTATAAATGATAACATACAATATAAAACATAATTTGCACATAATAACAATATCATCCAAGACAAGAGAGGTAGATAGATAAAGAGACACACAAACAGAGAGAATTTGATGAAATATTAACAAGAATGTAATCAATTACAAAATGTGTGATTTTACTAATTCATTAACTCATGGCAAAGTCGTTTAATTATAGTAAATATTTGAATTTTCTAATTGTTTCCTATTCTTATGGTTCGCAGAACACGATAAAAACTACTTTCGAAAATCAACCCAAGGGCACTTAAATAGCCTTGGCGTCACCTATTTGACATGATTGAAATGTGCGTATTACGTAATCCGAACATGTTTTCTTATCAGTTATGGTATGTTCAATAGGGTATTGAAATTGACCTTGAGTTGATTTACAGGTTATCTAGAAACTTTGAGTATAATATGTTTATACTTTTGATGTGCGCCATTTGAAGGGAAATTGTTTGATGACATAGGCCTACTCATGCACCAGTGCCAATACTAATTTCAACCTTGCTTAGGCCTCATTATCAACTAACTGCTGAAGTTATGCATATTGACAGTGTATATAGCTGAGGATGGTTTTCATAAATATAGGCCTAGTTTTAAATGAAAAGCCAGTATCTAATTCCAAGGAAAACGTAATAACGCATGATTAATTTCCTATGAATTAAAAATTGTTAATGAATTTCATTGAAGTAAATCCTTTCAACAATTTTGTCATAATTTGTATTCAATTTTCAATTCAGTGTATTTTACATCTCTTTAAAAATATAGAATACCAATGAAAATTAAAGCAATATGAAGTTAATATACAAAATGACATTACAAAAAGGTATATGCATACATAATTTTATATAGATTTTTCTTACACTTGAAATGAGATAAAAGAATAACAAGCGAGTAAATTATATATTACAATTGAAGATGAGCGTAGAAAATATGACATAAGGAAAAAAAAGGCACATTACTAACATTTAAACAAATAGTCAAATCAAAACATCAGTGGAATTGTAAAAAATAGTTATAACACACTTACCCACACACGCACTATAACACACTCACCCAAACACGCACTATAACACACTCACCCACACACGCACTATAACACACGCACTATAACACACTCACCCTCACGCGCACTATAACACACTCACCCAAACACGCACTATAACACACTCACCCACACACGCACTATAACACACGCACTATAACACACTCACCCTCACGCGCACTATAAAACACTCACCCACACACGCACTATAACACACTCACCCACATACGCACGTACATTCCAGCACACATAATGCAGCATGTAGCTTAAATTCTTGTCTTTCATGATCAAGGTATTTCAAGACAGTTAGAATGTTCAAAAAATGGTTTACTACAAATTCCTCATGATAATGTTTATAACCAAACTGAGACCTAGTACATTTGGCTACTCTGAAACATAATGACGCCGTCAAAAATTGTTCTTGTTCGCCAGGTAAAGAAAGTCAAAAGTATTAACGTTAAATAGCTCATTAAAAACATTCTGCCCATAATTACACTTATGTCAATATTTTCAGATACGATTTAAATGTACTCTAAGCCAAGCTCCCATGATATATTGAGGAGGAAAAAGAAGACAAAAAATAGGCACGATTATTATTATGATTTTGCTCTTTTACGAACTCTGTCACCATTTTATATTGACGCAAACTTGTATCCGATTTAAGTTTGCAATCCAATGGCTTGGAATTCTCATCAGATATAACGTGAGACAAAAGCAAATTAAATAATTTAAAGTATTTACATTATTTCGGCAAAGTCAAAATTTCAAGGAGCAATTCCATGATTATTCTTTCAATCCCTTCCAATTTTACATAATCCTTTTTTTATCGACTTTCATGATATTATAACATTTCGAAACAATCTGGATGTACTTCGTCAAGAACAGGAACGATAGCGGGTTGGATAACCCTTTCCAGCCTCTGAAATGGAGAAAAACGAAATGAACAATCAGGCCTTTTGTTGAACATGTGGAAAGACACAAATGTAAAAACTAGAAGAATCCTCAATTTTATTGAAATGCAGCAATGTGATAAATGAAAGGCAGTTATACACTTTGGTAATATTAATGGTCAGAACCAAAACAAAAAAAAAGGAAAGGAAAAAAAAACACTCTTTATCAGAACAACTACCACGACAATCACTACCTTTGGTTTGAATCTACTCCAAAAAAAAATGGACTGGCAGAAGGAGAGTGGTTTAATAACTCTTTTGGGAGTGAATTGCACTATTCATCTTTCAGCATAGAATGGATTTCCACTTTTAATGAAGTGATCCCTCGTATGACCCCCCCCCCCTAAAAAAAGGTGAATTTCCTTCAATTGATAAAGTACAGGCCTTTGTTCTGTATTTACTAAGCATTTAGAATTCCTTTTGGGGGGAGGGGGTGAAATTATTTACATTTTTTTCTAGGTGGCAGCAGGAGTCTCCCATGGTTCCCTGTTACATACCTGTGTAGGCACAAGAATGTCAAGCAAGCAACAATGACAAAAAAAAAAAAATAGATACATTATTTTAGTCCTACTCGGCGTACCCGTTGCCCATAGGGGAGCCGTTTTCCCTATAAGGTGCAGCAATAAAAACTATAAGACCTAAAATCCTGTTCATAATCTTACCGTGAAAGTGGGCCCATCACCTTTGATCAATTGGTAGAAGACGGCGTAGACCATTCCGGCGGGAATGCACACCATCGATGAGAGGGCCATACAGATGCCAAGGGGGTTCGAGAACAAGGACAGCGTGGACCATGAAACTATGTTGTTGATCCAAACGAACTGGGAATAGAATGAATTTTACATGATTACATGATTTACCTGCCGGCGTTGATTGTGATGGTATGTGTACTTTTAGAAAGTAATATAATCACATTGATATATCACGATTTTCGAGAATGGATCGTTACATTACATTACATTTTCTGAAGGACTTTAGGATCGTGTTTATACATGTAGATTTTATGGAAGAAGATTTTCTGTTACAATGAAAACTTAATCAATAAATTTCATTCAGTTAAATTCAAATCAAATCAATTTCATCACCATTCAATTGTCAATATTGATGATTACAGGTAAGTTCATAGTAAATATCGGTATATAAAAAAAAGTGGGATCGAAAGTAAGGGGCGGAAACAGCAATCTTTGACCACAGGCGGTGCGCTATGTGAAGAAAAGAAAAGGAAGAAGATTCTGGCAAGCAAGCAAGCAAAAGAATATAAAAGTTTTCCAATTTGAAGTGCCTTTCAGTTCTAAAAACTTGAAAGGGATTGGGCAAGAAATACAACAAAAAAACATGATGGAGCACGTTTATTTGGGCGAGGGATGAGAGGGGTGGGAGCAGGGGCGTCGCTAAAGGGGGTGTGGGGGGTGTTAGGTTGAGTCGCCACGTCAAGAGGCAAAACAGATACGCATAATTAGATTGCAGTATCGGGTCCGCTGTGTAGGTATTCTTGCTCGATCCTCGTGTACTATATCAAAGCAGAAGTTTGAAGTCGGTGAGATGTATTATGTCGGTCGGCCGGCAATTTTGTTCTCCCTACGAGCTGTGACTTTTTATCGGACAAAGAAACATTTTTTTTTAAATTCAGACAATCATTAAGAGTCAGTACAACAAATCGTCTTCTTGCTCTAATAATCGAATGAAATGTCAAAGCTTCCGCGCTTCGCGCGGGAGGGCGGGGGGACGGACGGAATTCAGGTAGGGATTAAGAATCGAGAACGGTCAGCGAATCGTCTTCTTTATCTAATAATTAAATGAAACGTCATAGCTTCTGCGCTTCGCGTGGGAGGGGCAAAACAGAATTCAGACAAGGATTAAGAGTCGGGAAAGGTACAACGAATCGTCTTCTTTCTCTAATAATTTCATTAAATGTCAAAGCTTTTGCGCTTTGCACGGGAGGGGGGGGGGCGGAACTAAAAAATAATGAAGCTCCTCGCCCAGGGTATTTGGGGTTAAATTTGTAGACATTGGTACATCAGCATTAATATATTTGTTGGCATGGACTGGTTCTACCCCCTAAATAAATTATCAGCCACTGATAAAATTACCCAAATCATTGTAGCATAATAATGTTCGACAATGACATCATGAACAAAATGGCCTGTTTTAATGTAGGCTTGTGTGCGATCTCTAATGCGTGTATAATTTTGATCATGACTCTCAAACTAAGCATGCAGTTGCCTGATATAGAGAAGGGTGAAGAGAAAGTTGAGTTCTGCTTAAAGGTAAAGACCAGTTCTGGTCATGCGATTGCATTGTGAAAGAAACATTGTGGAATCGATCAGAAAAGGTTGATCATCTAGCATCTAGCATCTGCAAGGTTCTGGAATCATCAAAATGATAAGAAATTTGGCTCATTCTTCGTAAAGTTACAAGCACTATACACAGAAAGATGTATATGGGACTACCCTATCTCTCTCACCAGACCATGAGAGAAATAAATTTACCAAATATATGAATTAGTAGGCAGTTTCCCGGCAAATTTTTTATCATCATGTATTAGTCAAAACATATTCTTTCACATGATTGGTAATGAGAGCTTCCATTTCATTTTTTGAAATTGGGGCGTTGCCAATACTGGTCTTTACCTTTAATTCGAGGTTTAAAAATTCCTTGTGGGCTCTCTCATTGTCTGTCAGTTTAGAAGAATGTCATATGATTTAAATAATGTCCCCTGAATAGGATTGTTCTTTAGATGACCCCATGTCTGAAATAATCTAAAGCGGTTCTTAAGGGTTTTATTTTCTTCTTCACATCTCCACCCCCTATTCGTGTTCTATCTATGTGCCCTATTCTATCTATCTATCTATCAGGCTATAGTTCATCCAGACGTTGGTCAAAGCCCTCATAATATTTCCATTCTCTTCTGTCTCTAGCTATTCTAGTCCAAGCGGCCGTTCCCATGTATGATGTTAGGTCATCTCTCCATGTTCTGTTCTGCCGCCTCCTCTTCTCTCTCCCATCCTTGGTTAACGGATAATAATTTTGAGGGGGAAAAAAAGTATAATGTAAAAACGGCGCGAATCAGACTCGGGTTCCGTGCGCACTTTATTCTAGCTACAAGCACAAACGATGCGTCGACTAGTTTACTCATTTAGATTGGCGCTTTTGTGTCTATAGTGAGAGAGTATTTGACCTTGCAATATCTCTTTATAATATTATTTGAAGCTGAAATATTGATTGCAGTATAGCGACTTGGAATCCTTATTTCCTGTTGATTTCTACACTTTAAATGTCATTAGAATACGGGCCACAGATAATTACCAGAGCAATAACAGGAACAGTGGCTATCCAGCAGATTATGTACCATTCGATCTGTTTCCATCTTAGCATTTCGGCAATGTTGAAGGAAAACTTTCTAACTCCTTTACAAAAAGAGGTAAGAATGGAAAATGAAAAAGTTACACGTTTCTTTCAATACTTTGATAATCTTATTATCGCCCTAAGATGTCTAAAGTTTACACTTAAAACTAGTTTTCCTACGTTGTGACAGTGACTGACCAGCTTAACGATGTACCATAAAGTGTCTCCATCTTAGAATCTCGACAATGTTCGATGAGAATCTTCCCACTACTTTAAATACACACACAAAATGTAAATACAAATATAAAAATTGAAGAATGGCCAAAGAGATGCATGCAACATATCTCTCTATTGCTATGCTGTGCAGGTTTTAAACATAAAAAAACTCCACCCTTTTCTGTCTTGAGCTATTTCCTTCATCTTTGAGTATGTATCATTAGCTTCGATACCATCCAACATCATAATTATTTTCCTTCCCTCGGTCTTCGTCCTTCCACCCCTCCCTCAATGATATCTCTTGATCAGGAGTCTGTAATGCCGTAGAATATGCCCAATTCATTTCTTCTGTCTCTACTTCCAAGTCGTTACAAACTTTCGCTCGTTCCCCCACTCTTTCGTCGTGCCATGCATTTTTCCTGTGCAGCCACTTTTCAAAATTATCCAACAAAACAATCTTACACTTGTTTTAATACTTTGATAGTCTAAATGTTGACCTAAATGTCATTACATTATGAAGAGTTGGTTTAATCTTTACTTACGATTGGAAAACAAGGAAAGTGAATATTTGTTTGGTAAGATTTAATGCATGTACGAAAGTTGATGACAATTCATCCAATGTTGGTAAAATTATACCAAACAAACATGTACATTTATGTTCCCTTTTTTCACCCAACACAGGTAAACTTTCGCCCTACTATTTTAGAATTTTCTCTTCAACTTCAACAGTTGATAAAAATTGCCTTATACAGTTTTTTCTTCTTTCTAGAATATAAATAACGAAACATGCGACTACCAGGGTACTAAATTTCATCATTATTTTCTAACTCCCCAACAACCGCCCCTGGCCAATGGTGCCCTAGAAATGTTAATAATTCATCGTAGAGGGATCAAGAATAACTCGGGATCAGGGACGGTTTAATAGACTGACCCGATGGAAGAAAAAGTTTTACCATAAACCCATCCGATGGCGATGCTCTCGAAGAAACATATCCAAATGAGAGGAAAGATACCAGACCCATAGGCATCAAAGAGCCATAAGACGTATTCACCATCCTGAAAATTAAATGGTACAAAGATGTTGATAATCATTATCGTTATTATAATGCTGATAATAATGGTAATAGTAACAATAATTATATAATTATGAAAATAATAATAATAATAATGATGATGATAATAATAACAACAACAATAATGATAATATTGATAAAATTACTACTACTACTTCTACCACTAATAATGATAAAAATACTAGTGATAACAATAGTAACAATTGTAATAATAATATTAGTAATAATTATGATGATAATTATAGTACTCGTTTCTTTCATAGCACTATATTGAATTGATGATTATAACATAAAAAGTCTTTACAAAAAATACAATACAAACATCACACGGTTAACTACAATGTAAATACATGTAAATACATGTACATGTAAATGCATACAAATCAACAGAGGAACGAGAACTTTGTCAAATCTAATTTCAAGTTGATCTCAGTAGAGGCAGAAAATGAGAGAAACAGATTAATGAAAGTCCGATAAAAATATGACACCCCCCCCCCCCCCCGAAAGAAGGAAGTTATATATTTTATACGTTGTCATCAACTGAAAACGTATTGGCAAATCCGTGACATACCTTTTGAGAATCTTTCCCATTTGCTCTGTACTAAAAAATACTAATGTAACGTCTGCTCAGAGCCAGATTGGCGTTTAGTCCATTTTAAAGTTCACGATTTAACATCTTTAGACTGTGGATCACATGGTTCGCAGTCCTAGTGCTCCAGCGGTACTAAAGTCCTTTTACAAGACATTAATCTGCATACCTGGTATGCCACTTTTCATCCAGGTGCTAATTTGGGTACTGGTAGGAAGGAGTTTCTTGAATGATGTGAGCACCGAAATCGGTAGCCTCCCAGAGCCGGGGTAATATTAGAGCACCTTGAGCACCGTGCATGATGGATAATGTGCCCTATGAAATTATCCAATATCATTAAGTTTATCATTAGTAGTATAATATTTCCATTAACTTATTTACTTGACCACTAAATATCACGTGTCGATATCTTACCTGAGTTACCATACTGAGGCCAATCAGGAAGTTTAGAAAGCAGACTCCCAACACGAATACCTCTTTATAATACCCAATCCGCAGCCAGGTAGGGAAAAGATCCAAGACAGACGTGATGAACGCCTTCACCGTGACGAGCTAACGTAGAAAAGGTAGGATGAAACGAATTAGTTCATGAAATGGGGAGTTGTTGGTTGTGCGTTTAGGGAGAAAATGATAGGCAATGCTTTCTCATTCACATGGGTTTTTTTCGACATTATCAAAGTATTAAAATATTACCTGAATTTAGCGAACTTGTATTGAAAGTTTTAGGACTTTGAATGAAAGGGCTGATAGGTTTGAAAAATGGTTGCAAATATTGTAAAGGTGGAAGCGGATGAAAGGGTTGAAAGAGGTCGAAAAAATGTTGAAAACATTGAAAATGTGGTAGAAGTTTGAAGAAGTTGAGAAAAAGGTTGACCTTTCCACCCAGTACAGACTTTATAAGGTTGACAATGTTGTAAAGGTTGTCAAACGTTACAAAAGAAGTTAAAAGTTCCAAAAGGTGGAAGAGGAAATTAGATATAGGTCTAGCTACTAGGATTAAGATTACAGGTATACCAATTGCAATCTACAGATACATATTTTGGATCAAGTCGGTTAACATTAATTTAGACATAGAATTCAATTTTGGTTAAAGTCAATAAGGCTTGAAAACATTGAAAATTAAGGAATGGATATGATGATCCACTATGTCAGCGATATAACCCTTTCGTTGATACTCACTGATTCACATTGGTTCAATGCGGTCCTGACCCCTCATTTTTGTTTTTTTGTCAGAGATTTTAAACTTAATGTTTGTTATACATCATTATAGACATTAATACCATGATTTGTATTCATTGCTTGTCATTGGTAAGACTAAAAAGGGCAGTTAAGACAATCTGATGATTTTGAAGTGTCTATTTTTTTCTTCAGAATTGCGACACCCCCATCCCACTTTCACAAAGTCATATATCCTTCCCCGATTACCTGAGAGTTTAGCCCAATCGTTAGGACCGCTAGGAAAAAAAATATAGACCAGACCCTTGGTACAGGCAATGCAGCTAAAGAACGCGGAAAGACCTTGAAAAATCGACCAGAACCTAAAGTAATAAACACAATAAAAAAAAAATGAGATGGAAGAAAATGAATGATTTAACTAAATAAGTTTTAACAAGGGTGAATATAAGATATGTGGTACGCAAGTTCTTGTATGGTTTGTTTCATTGAAACGCTCTATTTAAAAAGTAGAACAAGTATGAACATTTCCTTGTGTTATAAATCTAAGTAAGTACCCCAAAGTCCAAAAAGGCTTCGAAAACTAAACTAACTTTGATTTCTGCTGGCTTACATGTTAGGGATTCTTTAACATAAGGGGGGGGCATATTTTTTTTCCTGGCATGCTAAAACACATAAGGGTAAATAAATAAGTTGAAAGTAATCATTTTCCTTTTCCCTGTTTACCCCTTTTCTTTATTCCCTTTTTCTGGAGCATGTGACATTTTTAATGGAGGGGTGTACCCCTCTAACCTCCTCCCCACCAGTAGGACAGTGGTGTTAGGGTTACGGTTAAATAAAAATCCAACCCAAATAGACAACTCCTCTACAAGAAAGCAGAAAAATCAGAGAAGCAAACTGATGAATGTTATGAATTTTTAAAAGTTGTAATCACTATAGCCTACGTATGTGCACTTCAAGTACGCTGAAGCGGTAATGTCAGTGTGATGTTAGTACTGCCGGACTACTTTCCCATCTGTCCCAACATGACTAAAAAAATCAGATGACTAACATTTAAATTTTTCAAAAATTCATTGCTCAGGAGGGCTTAACCGTTTTAGAGGAAGGTGCCAATTGCGGTGAGGGGTTTTCATGGACCAGTAGATCTGAGATTATATTATCCAAAAAAAAGAGAAGAGTACGAATTTACAAATAGTAAAAAAAAAAGTGAAAGGCGTAAATATTCTAAAAAAGAATGAAACGCCGATAATACCAAACAACAACAAAAAACATAAAACAATATGCTATCTATAATATATTTTGAGTAGTGCCCCAAGGGCGAAGGGACATAAATTAACGATATTTTTGTACACAGCAAATGGGAGAGTTTTCAACGTTCTACGTCACGATCCACTGACCGAACTACCAATTTGAGATTTGCATAGACTTAGTGATCTCAAATTTCAAACATTCGTAACTTCCGTACTATTAGCTCGATTTATTTCAAATTTTTCTGTTTCTGTCATTGTTCTGCTTTCATACAAATCAACTTATAACAAGGGTTGGATTGCCCTTTAAGGTTAGAGGATCGGAGAGGTGTAGCCCTCAACCCCTCCTTCCCACCAGTAGGACAGTGGTCCTAGGGTTAGGGTTAAGGTAAGGGGGTAGGAGGGATGTAGCCTTCAATCCCTCCTCCCCACCAGAAGGCCAGTGGTGATAGTTTTAGGGTTAAGGTTAGAGGATGGGAGGGGTGTAGCCTGAAACCCCTCCTTCCCACAAGTAGTCCAGTGGTCCTAGGGTTAGGGTTAAGGTAAGGGGGTGGATGGATGTAGCCTTCAACCCCTGCCCCTCCCCTCTGCAAGGCCGTTAATAGTGTTAGGGTTAAGGTTAGAGGATGGGAGGGGGTGTAGCCTGAAACACCTCCTTCCCACCAGTAGTCCAGTGGTGCTAGGGTTAGGGTCGGGGTAAGAGTCAGGGAGGGCGTGCAGCCCCTCCTTCACACGACCCATTAGTGGTGTAATACTACTCTTACCGGAACCATCAGCAATGATTACGCCGGGGGAGATTCCCTCACTGTACGCTTCGACGCCGAGAAATGTAAAGACGATGATGCCACTGTAGATACTCGTCCACACATTTAAATATGCTGCGATTATGCTATCCCTTAAGACAATCAATACAAAAAAGACAAAATTAGCCTTAAACATAAGATGAGTAATGGTCATACAAGTTAATTGTGAAAGAAACAATCTAGAAGCATCTGGGAAAGGGTGATTATGAGGTACATGAGAATAGATGTTAATAATAAACATACTAAGAAGCTTTTAATGATCGAAATCAGCAACAGATCTAGTGTTGGACGTAGGGGGAGGGGTGAGTCCCCATTTCGTCAAGGCCCCCCTCCCCAAAAAAGTCGAAAACAATGTGTAGAAATTAAAGTTTTTCTTCTATTTTATGTTTTCATTTGTTGGATGAACCCAAGATAGGTCTCACTTTATAGTGGAATAGGAGTGTAAACTTTCTTAACAATGACAAAAGATCAACTGATTTAGAAAAGATCATTAATTCTAACACACTAGCAAAATAATAGAGAAAATGCATATTTTGATTGACATGTGAACAAATTCAAATTTCACACCCCTACGTCTGAATTGCACAAATTTGTATCAAAAAGTGTGGGAGACTTGAAAGAAAATGATCATGAAACATAAATCCGGAAGGTCAAGCGATTAAGACGCAGCGCGAAAATCATGAGGGGGCCATTATGTCCCCCCCCCCCCCCCCGGCCTCATTTTCAGGAGACACTTCCACTATGATATTCTTTCAAACTGACATACAAAGATTAACAAAAAACAAATATTTTTCAACTTTCCCGGAACCCAACCTTCTACTTAAAACAGATTTCGTCAGACAAGTAGAAGACGATACAAACTAAAGTCATCAATGAACGTAGGTCTGCAATCTTTAAATAAGACATAAACTATGATTACGTTGGCAGCTATTTGATATATTGCAGTATGTATTCATTCCCAATAGCTGATAATATAGGCCATTCATCCGTGTTCTTTTCCATTCGCTCCTCGCCTCTCTGTCTCTGTCTCTCTCTCTGTCTGTCTCTCTTTAAATAAGATTACATCATTGAGCAAAATAAGATTATGGAAATTAGTAGAAAAAAAGAATGAACAAATAAAATGTTTAAAACTAATAGTTGTTTAAAGACGTCCAGTGCTTGTGATTCAATTAAACTCTTAAAAACTTATCGTTGATCGAGCGTTTCCAAGTTTACCATGCACACAGACAAAAAGAGGTTTAAATTTACTCCCTATTGGGAGTAACTGCTTGTCGTATAAGTGACACCCTCAGGGAGTAAATTTAATCCCCAATGCAGGTAGTAAATGTACACCCCATAATAAAGTGTAAATTTGCACCCCCAGGTTATGATTTTACTCCCTTTAAGGAGTGAAATTTGCACCCAATGGTGCTCAATTAACACCTTTTGGTTCCATTTTCATGAAAAATGGGTTCAAATATACACCTGTGGGGTTGAATTTTATACCCTATATGAACGATTCCACACCCTGTGGGGAGTGAATCTACACCCTTCTTATGTACAGCATTAACCAATTGATCATCCCTCGAGCAATCAATCATCCATGCTTCGTAATCACCCAACAGTCACTGATTATCACCCTTTTGTCTACGTTTCACTGCTCTAAAGAAATCAGACCAGAATCTCGAGTTATATGTCGAAAATCTCAGTTAGTGTGAACCAGGGCTCAAATTATTTTTTTGTCCACGGGGGCTCTTTCAAAATAAAAAGCGCCCCCGTGAGCCTTCTCACGGGGGCTCTTTTAGTACAGACGGGGGCTCTTTTTCCATTGAATTGGTGGTACCCATGAAACTCCTAAATTATTTTGCTATTTCATCATTATCATTAATAGTCGGCATTGTTTCTCTTACAACTTTACAAGTTATAACATGAAGCTAATGGTCAGATCTCTTCCCTTTGTACGAAGTTTCTGGTCCAAGCCCGTATACATACGTATTACTCAATCTGTATAGTGGATATGATCGTCGCAATGTAGTATAGTCAAATTGAAGTTTCCTTTGTTCGTTAGGACTAGTTATCTTAAACATATACAAGTATTATATCATTTTATGAACACTTGTGAATGCCAGAGGGAAAGACCGTTGCAATCGACTGAACTTTAGCCTATTTTGTTATTTTTTTTGTCGCGCCCATATCGCCTTTGTAGTTGATTAAAAGCTGAAATAAGGAAGTACTTGAGCTCGAAAATATATATCTTCACTGTTCTCACGCGGGGGTGATGTCGAAATAGAAACTTGGCCACAAAACACAACTACACTTCAGAAAAGTAGAGACCTAGACCAGACCCCCCCCCCCCCCTGATTTCGCGGAAGAAGAAAAATGTTTTAATGGTAATGGTCGACATAAAAACTCTGAGCTCATCCTGTTTTCTATTTAATTATGAATCGAAAGAGAAAATTAGCGCCACCCTCGTAGTTAGTTTCGAAAGATGGATGATGTATATACTGGGCTGTTATCTTATTCTTATTTTGTCCTCGTTGCACGTGCGTGCTTTTCTATTATTTTTTCAAGTCATGTCGTTTAGTGGAAGCACCCGTAGACATGTCGATTGTACCTTACTATATTTAATTTTGACTACATATTATTTATGGGATTTAAATATGAATCTGAAAGTTTATTCCTCGAATAACCTTATCTGGATTAACATGACTTTGACATAATATAGTTGTCCTCGCGGTGCACTAAAAGTATAGCACGTAAACAGATTTCGACCTTCCCCTCTTTCCATATTTTTTTTTCTCGCTTCCGGAAACGCATTTGTTTTGCTTGATCCAAACACAGAGATATATTAATTTATGGAACTATTTTTTATAGACTGTAAATGCTTAACATAGTTATTTATAGATGATTCTGCGAACTGTATTTAATAACATAATGTTAATGAACAATCTCAGATTTACATGTGTGTGCACTGCAAATTCGTTGTGTAACGACTTTACACAACATTGAATGGTTCACTCCTTAAACACGGGTTGTGTTAAGTCGTGTAATAAAACATTTCACAACTTTACACCCTGCAACATCTTTGGTGATCTTCTTCTCAATATTGATTTACTGGTCGAGTTACATTATTTGTTGGCCTTTTAGAATAACCAGATTTCAGAGGATTCACACTTTTCACAACAAAAAACTTCTCCATGTTTCAGTCCTTGCGCCATCTAAGTTCCATTTCATTGGTTTAAGGTTTGAAAATTGATACTTAATATTGTGTAAAAGTTATATCAGAAAAGATCATCTTGATTTTATAATTCCACGGGGGCAATTTTTAATTTTTCATTCGCCCCCGTGAGCAACCTGACGGGGGCGATTATGGAGCTCACGGGGGCGAATCGCCCATCGCCCCCGTGTATTTTGAGCGCTGGTGTGAACTCAACACAAGTGCAGACTGTAAGAACCAACTAAGTTAGCCTCGGTGAGGCTGGCCTGGATGGAAGTATCGGATCAACTGTATTGGAACTATCTAAATACACAATCCTGCCTCACCGTGTATGTGTGTATTGGGTTTTTACAGACGTGTATCAATCAGAATATCTTCCGTTTACTTACACGAAGGCAAGTTAGTAAAACAACACTTCTGCTAATTTCATTAAATGATCAAATATAACCTTCCGTACAATCCCTTATTCTTGATCAGATAACTTTCAAACAAATAACATGCCCAAATGAAACATGATAATTCCCCCAACATGACTAAAATAAGTAAATTAAGCTAATTTTCCTTCATTTGGCAGTAAATCGACACGATGCGCCATTGCTGTAGCGCATGCGCATATATGCACTCACAACAGAAAAATGCTTTGAATAATCAGAGCTCGTCTGACTAAAATAGGGTGTAAAATTACAGCCCTCAAATTCCTATTCTGTACACCCTTGCGTATATTCGTGTTTTACTCCCTAAAAGGTGTAATAGGGGGCGCCCTATTTTTCCAATTTCGTTTTACTCCCCAAGAACACCTTTTATTTCTCTGTGTGTAGTGCCCGTTTTTTCTTTTCTTACGACGAGAAGAGAATATTACACGCAAGTGTATTTGTACCAACCTATAGAAATTGTAGTGGAATTTGTTGAAGCTTCCAAGGGCTGTGAAAGCACCTAGTCCAATCGAGAAGGAATAGAAAACTTCTGTTCCAGCGGCTATCCACGCCTTTACGGACCAATCAATGAAAACAAGTTTATACAACGTCAAATGCCTGTCCAAAGTGGACGGAAACCAAAACAAACACATGAAAGAAGACAAAAAAACAACAAAAAACAATTTTAAATAATTAGACAAATTAAGCAACAACAAAAATATCATACCCTTCAATTAAAAGATATAATTAGTTTGCCTTAGTAAATTCAGGCACGGTTAAAGTAGCGCTCCAGTGTTACTTGTTGTAACTGTCGGTACTCCATACTCTATAAGCCTGCATATGTAGCGTTCCATACTCTCATAGCAACCCATTTGAGAAGCACAATTGTACGTCACGATGTAAAACCACGGCAAAATTAGCCTGTTTTTATCGTAAAGTTAAACTACTTGGTCTGCCCATATTATTTGGTCTGCACAGTGGTAAGCAATTAAACATACATGCGTTATTTGTTTGGATTGTAGTATCAGTGTTTGTGACATAGGTTTCGTCATTTAACTATAAATACCACAGATTATTTGATGATAATGAGAATGTTGCATGCCATTGCCCATGTTATAATACCGGTATAGCATTATTCAGAACTGTAGAGGGCGAAGTACATTCGCACTCACTTTCAATGAATACATAATACATAACTCACAAGATAAGATGTTTATAAAATCATAGTTTATTAGCGAGTTGTGCATAATGCAGATGATGCATACAGTGTAGATATTATAATTATCGGGGTAGCAAATTACACAATGAAGGTTTTAGTACTTAAATTAAGATGTTTATATTTAATCTCCAATCTTGTTGCTCAGACATACGTGTTTAATAATAATAAGAGCATGAAGTTTAGGTACGTTACTTTATATTACATTGTGGTTGGTGATGATACATGTATTTAGTAGTTTATGCTTGACAAGAATGCTAGCTCATAATGATAACAAGATATTTGTTAAGTAAGCGCTGTGCTTTGTATAAGATGGGTATACCTGCTTGCAATAGTTAATTGCTTGTCATTTATTAAGTTTGCGATGTTATTTCCGCACATGTGCATGGTTTGGGCCAGAATGTTAAGGTCAAGTTAGACACCTAATACCAAAGTTAAAAGGTTAATAGGACATCAATTAATATACTTTTCTTTGGCTTTGTTTTATAGTTCTTACGGCAACATCTTACGGCAACATGTAAAGCGACTTCCAAGTTTATCAGCTAAATCGGCGTCATCTATCAAGTTAACGGTTTATTCGATATTCGAGAGTAAGATTGTAAGCCTGTAAACTTTCTTCAAGGAACGATGGCAATAAAGTGCATGATTAAAGTGCCCGTATACAAGACCTGTGACTGTATTCATTTATGTGGTGTAAACGTGTCAATATCGAGAGGGGCAGGCACTCTTGTCGTAACAAAAATATTAGAGTGACTAGTTCGACGACAAAGAAAAATATAAAGTTTACAAGATTATATAAAAAAAAATATAAATACTGCATAGTTTTTGCTTAATGATGTGGCTTTTTTTTTCGAGGGGTTAGTAGATAATTGCTCAAGAATCACCTCATTTAAACAAGTTAATTGTGTTAATATACACTGTTGGTCATAATGGTGGAATAATCATTTTTACCCCAATTTATTGAATGATTTTGACAATGATTTATTCCTAATAGAACAAGATAATAGTATACATTCTCAGATGTTATTGAATGACCATTGGGGAGTGTTTGTTTTGCGTGACTGCTAAAACATGTGTGTGCTACTATGCTAATCACTAACCTACGTCCTTAAGTCATAACTGACAGTAATGGGGATTAAAGCCTCATAAAAGTGGACTAATATAGCACATCGACACGGTTTTGATCCTGGGGGCTCACAGTAACGAGGCCATTGCTTAGCCAATGAATCATGACTGTACGCAGCGGGCGCTAGGTTACGTCGACGCCCCCACAAAATCAAAAAAACAAAGAAAAGGCAATAAATGTTCAATAATTCATTGTATTTCCCCCAGTACCCAACAGGAAAAAAAAAATCCTCTGTAGGGCTATTCCTTATGGTTCAGGCATGCCTACATAGAAGATTTTTTTTTGTGTTGGGGTCGGGGCAAAATGCAATGAATCATTGAAAAATTATGCATTTTCTTCTTTTTTTTTTCTTTTTTTTTTTAGGAATAAATCATTGTCAAAATCATTCAATAAATTGGGGTAAAAATAAGTATTCCACCGTTATGACCAACAGTGTAGGTTCAAGGAGTTTAAAGAGCATGATCTCTCGAATTTATCCCTATGTATCCATGCGCATGTTTATATATATATATATATATATATATATATATATATATATCCATGTGTGTGTGTGTGAGAGTGTGTATGCGTGTGAGTGTTCATGTATAAGTAAAACAAGACATAAGCCTCCGCCCTAAATTCAGTATAGGAAATGGATGATATTATTCGTAACATAATATCACAATGAAAACAAAAAGCCTATAATCAAATGTCAACTGACGTCTATGATCTTGACCTACCAGCCCCAATATGTAATTGGATCATCTTCCTATAGTAATACTGTCACCATGTTTAGATACTGCGATAGCAAGGCTATAACAACCTTTAAGTTAAGAAATTGACCTCTGTGACCTTCGACCTACTTACCTTAAATCTAATGAGACTGTCTTCCTAAATGATGATACATACTATCACCAAATTTGAACCCCAAATCTCTAGAGGTTTTAGAAATATCGCAAATCTGTAATGTCAGAAATTAACCTCTGTGACTTTTGACCTTTGACTTTGTATCCGAGATCTAATCAGATCATCTTCCTATGTTGATGCATGTTATCATCTAGTGGTTCTTGAGATATCGTGATAACGAGAAAGCGGGACGGACGGACAGACCACCATCGGTGGGCGGAGGCATTACAAAATGAAACCTAGATATAAAACAACTTAGTTGACAATATTAGCCTTTGTTTAAATTATTACATGACATGGAGAGTATAGGGACCCGTTTCACGAAGTCTTTTTTCAATGACAAAAATCAGTGACAAATCTGCTGATAACCAATCCGAAGCAAGGATTTCAATAGCTTATAACAAAAACTGTCATTTGTCACTGATGACAAGTTTTGTGAAACGGGGCCCAGGTCCTTGTATTATTATACAGACAACACGACAGGAAGTACTTCCTCGAAATCAACAGATGCGGTATACCTGTGCATTTAGTCGAGATGGGATGGGTTTGAGATAAAAAATCAAACCATCATATGCTCCTGGTAAAGTAATCCCACGTATCATAAGCACGGCGAATACAAGGTGTATGAAGGGAACGGTGAAATAAGCCACCTGCAAAGTAAAGTAATATAATGAGAATAATCAAACAATTTACATTTATAATTTAGTTCGGTTCCTTACAAAAAAAAGACAAGTAGCAAAGACTAACTTTACACTGTTTTTAATGTAAATAGTGTCATAAAGTGGGAACATCGATAAAAAAAAAATTAGATGGAAGAAGAAAAAAATCATAATTCATTTCAAATCTAAATTACACGTTAAAGAGAATGATCATTGGAAATCAAACTACAAAAACAGAACAAATAGAAATCATATTAAAAAATATTCCTCAGATTTATTGGTCGAAATATGAATGGAGTGCACCTTTTAAAATGAATGTAGTGTTTTAAATCAAACTAAGCTATTTACAGTAGTTTAATCACAATTATCCAAGCTTAAATGTTTATGATCACAGCCGAAAACAAAACGGAAATGCTAAATAATGATAAGTGAATGAAGCAAATGGATGCGTAGAGCAGGACAGCAAGGGTGTCTACTGTCTAGCTCATAGTTTGACGGACATATTCGCTCTATATATAAGAACTCACTGTGATTGTTGTAGTTGTTATTATTGCTGTTATTCTTCTTATTTTTTTTTGTAATTATTATCATTATTAATATATTTATTGTCATCTTCATCATTATCCTCACTATTGTTATTATCATTGTGATTATGACTATTATTAATATTATTATTATTATTATTATTATTATTGTAGAGGTGTTGTGGCGTAGTGGATAAGTCGTCGGACTGTGAATCACAGGGTTCGCGGTTAGAGTCCCGCCGCTGCACTAATGTCCTTTGGCAAGACATTAATCTAAACTTGCCACTCTCCACCCAGGTGTTAATGGGTACCGGTAGGAAGGAATTCTTTAAATGCTGTGAGCGTCGAAATCGGCAGCCTAGCATAGCCGGGTAATGTTGGAGCGCCTTGAGGACCATGCAAGGTCGATACGTCGCTTTATAAGAGTCCAATATTATTATTATTATTATGTTTATTATTATTATTATTACTATAATCATTATTAGCACTTTTACCTTCATCATCATCATTACAAATACAAGGACAATCAATCAAAGACTGTTTATGATATACAAATCATTGCAATTTCGTTTTTTTTTGGGGGGGGGGCGGTTGTGTCATCGTAAAAAATATAAGCAAATAACGGTACCTTGCCGCTCCATTTAACTCCCTTCCGGAGGCCAAAGTATACGAGCGTCCATGCGAGGAAGAGGGTTAGGGCAAGATGCCCGACAATACCTCTTCCGCCCGTCCCTGTTTGGCCTAACACCTTGATTCTAGGAAAGGAAAAGGACAACTGATTAAACTAGAGTCCATTTTTCATTTCATTTCTTCTATATCCGCCATAAAAGGCACATCTAGAACACAAACAAAAATTGATTAAAATGTACATATTTTGTGCATATACAAGAAACAAAATATGATAAATAAAGTATATACAGGAAATAAATGTCATTTAAAAAGCACACATATAAATACACAGAGCAATGATCAACAACAGGCGCGATAGCTCAGTCAGTAGAGCAGTATTTTATAAACTAAAAACATTAAAAATCGCTGATATTCACATTTTTCAAACTGCAATCTTTATGCATACATTTTGGATAAATACTATACTATTGGCATTCCGAAATATTTTTGTTTACAATAGTGATATACATTCTTATCCAACACGACACCCATCCGATTTCCATTTAACCAACCAAAACATTGTTATGGCCTATAAATCGATAAGACACTATGTCCAGATATTTGGAATGCTTTACCTGACAATATCGAACACTCTGCATCTCTTTATTCATTCAAAGCCTCGATGAAGAAATATTTAATATCTAAATATTCACCAACAATATAAGGGTCTCAGCAATTTTTATTGTTTGTTTATATGAATTAATTTAAGATGACCAGTTCATTAACAATTCACCTGCACACACCCACTTTCACACACTTGAATATTTTTTCTTTCTTAATTTCTTTCCACTCATTTTATTTAGATATTTTCTGAACAAAATCTTTATACATGACATTCTATTCTCCTACATACTCCTATAATGCTAGGAGTCCACTGGGCCAGCGTCAGTTGGTGCCAGTTTGCGCCAATGCAATTTACTGTGGCGCCTAGTGTCGCCAATAAGGTGCCTAGTGGCGTGTAGTGGCTCAAACTGCCTCCCAACTGGCTCGTTGTGGCCCGTAACGGCACCAAATTTGAATGTGGCGGCGAGAAAATTTCAAAATGTTTGAAATTTTCGTCGCGCCACTTGCATCGAGCAATCAGCGCCAAGTGTCCGCCAAGTGGCACCAAATGGCGCGAACATATCGCCCTTTGGCGCAAACAATCCGCCTATTGGAATCCACTGGAATGTAATGACGCGCGCCAAGTTGCGCCAATGAGATTTGGCGCCACAAGGCAGTGGCCACCTAAGCATCTCTCATCATCTTCTGATGGAGCAGCATCATCACTCCAACATTATCAAAAGCATCAGACATATCAAAATTGTAAATATTTAGTAAAGATGTTGTTCATACAAGCAGCTGAGGAGGGTCTGAACCAGAAAGCCGATGACCGGTATTTATATAGTCGGCAAGTAGCGCCAAGCGGCGGCAAGTTCAAACCAATTTGGCGATCTTTGGCACAAACTAATCACCAAGTGGCGCAAAGTAGCCGTCTATTGGCACGAATGGCGCCAACAGGGTGAATTTAGGAATCAAATGGCCGTGTAATGGCGCGAACTGGCGCAAACTGGCACAACATTTTGGAGCAAACCGGATGGCATTTGGCGCACGCCATATGGCAGTGGCGGATCCAGGGAGGGGGGGGGGGGGGCAGGCCCCCCCCCCCCGTTGAGGAAAAAATCATGCAAAACCACGCGATTTTTACCTTTTTGGGGGGTTGGGCCCCCCCCCCCCCCTGGCGCTCAAGGGGGGGGGGGTGAAAATTTTAAAATTTTCGAGGACCAAAAAAAAAAATGTGCTCACTTTGGTTTGTCAAGAACAACCTCTGTTTAAAAATTGTGCATACAATTTTAATATGTTAATAAACCGGTCTAGTGGGAATAGTTGATGTAGTACACTATTGATTCGTACTATGAGTTTTAGAATCATCATCATTATCAACATCATCATCATCATCATCATCATCATGAAACTTACCTCCAGAACTCCTGGGCCGGGTTGGTTGTTAATGGGTAATTACCACATTGGTCAGAGTCATCTAAGGGCACTGCTTCATTCCAACTGCTCCACGATGGGGCTGGTGATTCCTCCGGTGGAGCATTCCACTTGTCGATGGGAATATAGGTTCCATTGACGCACACCCATTCATTCTGGAGTCAATGGATTTAACGTGTTATAGCATTTATTTTAAATAGTTGTTAATACTATTATTATTATTATCATTAATATTATCATTATTATCCATTTATCATCATTATCGCGATCGCAACTAGAAAAATCAACCTAGGAGAATTTCAATGGCCTTGTACATCGCGCTTTAAAATGTGCGAACATTACAATGACGCGTTATGTAATCAGATCATGTAATCATTTTTGATGCACAAAATCTTTGTTAAGTGCCTCGTTCTAATTATGTCATTCATCTGCTACAAATAATTTGTATTTCAATACTTCAGAATGCAAATTGCATACATTAATTGTTGTTAGGTAGGACAAACATTATGACTTGTCCTGCTTATAACAAAAAAACACGTGCCCACCCCCCCCCCCCCTACCCGATCCACCACTGAGAAAGACTGAACATGAAATAGGGGGTGAACAGAGTCTAGACTTACGCCGTAATTCAAGCATGAAGCTGTATTCCATTCATTATTGCATCTCGCCCAGGGGAGCTCACCACCAATGCATGAACTGTACAGGTAGTACAGGGTCCAGGCCAGGATGACGTTATAGTAGATGTTACGCCACCAAGCAACGACAGTGGTGGCGACACCAATACCTACGAGGATAAAAATTAAAGGTGTGTTCATAAATGGCGCGGTAAACGGCCACAAAAAGAGCAGCCCCAGGGTTTTGTACGTGTAAATATAAATGACAACTACGCGTGACAAATTAAAGGACTTGCGCGTATTCACTGAGCTCTGTGTTATAACCAAAGACGTTTAAATATAATTATAACTTAGAGAAATGTGTAGTGGACTGTCAAGCTAATTTAAAGGTACCATGTCCATTTTGCAGCCAACCTCAAATGCTGTAGAACTTTGCAGGAATTATGAATATGTCATGTATGTCCTATCTGTGAAATTTAAACGTTAGCAGTGTCCTCATATTCAAATTATGTAAGGAAACCCGTTTACTTGCTAGACTTCACTGTCAGACACTATTGAGTGATCGACTGACTGGCTTTTTTCTTCTTTGGTAATAACATACATGAAAAGAGTTGTAAAGGGTACATGAGCATTTGTCTACATCAATAACCCACTTGTGATGGCCAAGATTAAACTGATTGAATCTTTGCGCAGCATAAAACGTATGACCATTCGGTACAATTGTCTGAAATCAAGACTGTTACTTTTGGGCTCTATAGCCCTAAAGTCGATTTGACAACTAATAGTCGTTATTCCCCCACTTTAAGACATTTTCAAGCCCCATCTTTTTCAGGGAAGTTCTAAATTAGTATTATCTTTCAAATGCAGTTGGAATTTAACCTTTTCATTGGCCTGCAAATGGGACATAGTACCTTTAAAGGGATAGTGGAGTTCTGTTTTCAGACCGCAAATGCCTTCAAAGTGCATGCTTATTGCTTTTATTCTGATCTATGACATTTCTAGCGCCCTTTTGGGACCTAAAATTGCTATGATGGTAACTTTAGCCCCCAAAATGTGAAAAATTTTGCCAATACGATCATACCAATTCAGATCCACTTTCAAAAAATACGCTGACCGCGTTAATTACTGAATTAATTAATAATAATACATGGGCCGGCTGGTTGTGCGTAATGTAACCAACACGACAAAGCCAACAAAAATTCCAACACCGGCATTGGCTAAAATACAACGTTAAAGGTGCTATTTCGTTTTTTTCAACGGCTTTTCAAATTATCGAATATTTGTGGTGGTACACAAATATTAGAAATCGTTATATTTATGGATATTTCAGCCGCCTCAACAAATTCCAACACCGGCATTGGCTAAAATACAACGTTAAAGGTGCTATTTCGTTTTTTTCAACGGCTTTTCAAATTATCGAATATTTGTGGTGGTACACAAATATTAGAAATCGTTATATTTATGGATATTTCAGCCGCCTCTAAACCAATTTCGATCAAACAAAGATGACATTGTCATTTAAATTATATGTTCTTTCAAATTTGAAACAGTTTGTCATTATCTCACAAAAAAAATATTTTGTGTAGCGCCCTCTGCAACAGAACTCAACTACCCCTTTAAATGCATCGTTTAACAATGTTAAATCTGAGATGCACGGCCCTACATATTATCGGTGTCTGTGATATGGTGTAATATTGAGGCCCAAAAAATTACGCTTCAAAATGATCAAGAAGTGCCTCAAAAAAAGTAAAAATCGTTGAGTGACCGGTTTTACCATACTCGTTTTTACCAGTAGACTGTAGTTTTATGAAAATCGTTCGAAAAACGCAAAATTTGATTCCGATTTCCAATCATAAATATTTCATTTCATTTCATTTTTTTTTCATTTCATTTATTTTCATATTTCTCATGTTACATATACATTCTAAATAAAGTACGAATAGTTTTTTTCTCAACAACACATAAAAATAAGTGGTCAATACGGAGTACTGGTTTAACTAAGAGAAGTATGATGGGACCTATCTTGATAATTAGAAAAGTGATCGGCTTGTAAAAGTCATGGGGTTCATGACTGACCGTAAAGTTTATAATTATCTTTGCTTACCCAAACCCTTTAACGTCATCATTGCACAAACAAAACAAAACAAACAAACTAAAATGCTGCAGTTTTGCCGCGTCGTATCTGAACAAGCCTTTAAAGAATGATTATTTAATGAAAGCGTTCATTATCTATATTTTATAACACACCTTGTACTGTATACGTAGTGTTAACATACATCGAATGTATTTAGACGCATCGGGGAACCACGTTTAAGCCATTTCGGCTTTTCGTGGTTTTCCATAACTATATTATTTGTTATACCCTGTAGATCTATGTTTTGCTTGTTGTTTCAGAAATGGTAATTAATTCATTATGTTTACCTTGGAAAATTGGGCATATCTTCCAGGCTCTGATGGGACCCGAGGAGGTGTATTGACCGAGTGCCATCTCCAGGAACAAGAGAGGAGTCGCAAGAAACAAGGAACATACAAAATATGGGATGAGGAAGATAACTGTGGAGAGAGAATACAAACAAAAATGTCACGAAACTATAATACTACTACCACCACCACTATTACTACTACCACTATTAATAAAACGTCGCCTGGCTGGAAGAAGGGCGTTAGCTCGAATTCGAAAAAAATGTGGCCGTGTTCTGTTATAACATTTCTATTATTCTTTTGAGTTTTAAAACCATTTTCGGGACGGAAATGAGTTTAAATATAAAACAAATCTTTATATGCGAATAATTCGAAAAGTATTTTTCGAGTCGCTCGCGCGCTAACGCCTTCCTGCCAGCCGGGCGAATATTGTGAAGATTATGATCATGATGATGATGATAATTATAACAATAAACTTAGGGTAGCCTCATCAGTATTATATCACCATAATCATAACTAAAATTATCCTTCAGTGCCCTCGAATCATCTAATCATTCAAAGGGGTGAGGTTAAGCAGGATATATATATATATATACAATGTATACTATGTAAAGAACAAGCATTAACAAATAACGTTTAAAGATTGGATTTCATGTAAAAGATAATGACCTCAGGGGTGGGTTATTTGACCGTATACCGTTACGAACATTATACAGCTAATTATTTTTGCTAGTGCGCCCCTTCATGAATTTTAGATGAATTGCCGTTTGGTCTACAGCCAGTTCGTCTACTACCCGATTAGTCTATTCCCATATGGTCTACACCCAGACTGTCTACTATCCACATGATCTAATAACCATTTCGTCTACTTATCATTTGGTATAATGACCTTCAAGTTATAGTCATTTGGTCGAATTTCCAATATGTCTACTAACAATTTGGTCCATCACTCAGTTAATTCCCAGCCTTGTCTAATGCCCGCTTTACACATCAAAGACGTTTAAATATATTACTAGATTTACTAGATCATTTACCAATTACTAATTATAAACATCGTTCAAGTACACTTTGCGCAGGGAGCATGCTACAAAATGCATAATTCATAAAAGGCTCATGAATTATTTAGTGGGGCTTTTTTGGCTTCTAATGGATCCGTGCAACATGGTGGAGCTTGGGTGCCTGCTGCAGCTGCTCCATGCATAGTCTGATAATCATTCAATGGTAAAAAATAATAACCATGAAATGTTTATTAGACTTAATCTGTACACGGACTCCTTGAACAACAGCCGTTTACGGTTGAGGTTTTAGCTTTAGCCTAGGCTGTAAAGCGAGATTACCGTGATTAAATAAATAAATGAAAATTTTGAAATGAAAAAAAAAAATGAAACCCAATGCACTCCATATAGAGCGACGCTCCAGATCAAAACAGTGAGGAAATAATCTCAATGAAATGCCATCTACTTAATTACTTACCCCCACCGTGTACGTAGCAGAGGAAAGGGAAGCGCCATAAATTATCAAAACAGGCTACGAAGCCGACGTTCGTCGCTAAAAAATCGAACCGCCAGCTCCACCGTTCCTTATCCACCATAGTACCTGCAGGTTCGACAGCTTAGTTGTATAGTTCAATACGATAGATCTAGCTGACAGTCTATATCCTACTCTTAGTCAAGATCTATTTCGAGTTATGAATGATGATCGCCGAATTTATGTTATTGTTTCTAGTTATGTATTATAGCCACTGAATTCCGCGCTCTCGTGCAGCCCAACTGGGATGCAAGCCGCCTGCACATAATTTATGAGATGTCTTGCCGCACCCCATGCGCGCGCAACCAGTGTACAATGTATTAGGAGCCAGAGCATGATTATAACACTGAGTTCCTATATGAAATATATTCATTCAGATGGTCATATCTCAGCCAATACTTGACATATTCACTTGGTTTTCGATATTTAGACATTATTTTTGATGTTCTTTCGGAAAATGAAGAAAAAATTGAGAAATTCTGAAAAATAGTTTTTTGATGACGTCACACTTCACCACTCTATAGGGGTGCCGCGAGAGAAATGATATATATGAAGGTCGGGTGACATCCAATTATGAATTGATTCATGTTGATGTGCAGGGCTGTATAGTGCATACAACTCATATTTTGTTATTCAAACATCTAAATATATTTCAAAGATGTTTTAATATTGTGTAAATCATTTTCTCAGACCCGGCCTGCTAAGCTCCAGCAAAAATGATCAATGACAGATGATGTCACAAGATAAATGAGATCTGGAGCATTTTTTTTAGGGTGGAGCTTATGACTGGTCTGAGACAATGATTGAAACAAAATATTTGACGTTTAACGTTTAACGATGTTTAGCGACAATATTATTAGCAACATTTGAGCGAATGTTTGCAAATGTTAGCGACAGTTTTTCCGTAGATTAGCAACTATTTGCCAATCCTTTGCCACTATCTGTGAATGTTTGGGACCTTTTGCTAACTCCTGGTACTCAATGGGTCTATTATTCGTATGGCCGAGTGGTCGCTGGCATTGGCAAATCCAAAAGATCTTTAGCGACACCGTCTCGTTTGCAGTAAAGGAGTAAAGATGGTTTGTATTCCCAAATTTACAGTCAGGCAAAAAATATGCTATTTTGAAGCCTTTGTGTCACGGCCTACAGAACGGCGGGGTTCGGGGGCACGAGCCCTAAAGAGAAAAGAAAGAAAGAACGAATGAGTGATCAAAATATGCTCATCTGACCGCAATTACCTGCCTAAAATCCCTAAGCTTACGGGGGCTCCGTCCCCTGGTCCCCACCAAGGACCCTTATGCGGCCCCCTGGATTCTCATCTGACCGTTATTAAATGTCTAAAACCCTCATGGGGCTCAGCCACCTGGACTCCCCCACCAATATAAGTGACCTGCCGGTGTCACAAATAAGGTATCAACATAATTATGCTCATCTGACCTTAATTAAATGCATCCTTGGCTGAATCAGTTTGTAACGTCCACTCTCTGCTGGATTACAGGCGCACGCCACAACGCCTAGTCTGGGAGTCGATTTCATTTATAGGCACAATTGTTCAGATAAAGTAATGAAAAAATTGAATAGTAATAATGATACAAAAGTTCCTTGGATGAGGAAGTCCACCATGTAAAGATTGATTTGGGAAAATGAAATAATATGATATTATATTGGAGATTTTGAAAGAACATTATCGAGTATGTCCCTCATTGCATAAAAAGTTATTTCCTAGCTAGCTTAATATCGTTCTTCCTGACTGATTTCATTATTGTAATTTTCTAAAACCATTTACTTGGAATAACATTAAATGATCAAGGAAAGGAGCAAAGGGGGCGCTCCCGGAGGGGGGAGGCAGGGTGATTTTCAAGTACCCCAAAAGTGACAATTTTTACATAAAAGTGCCCCTTTTGATTTGACAAGTGCCCCTATTCCTTCGACTAGTTACCTTTGCAATAAGTGTCCATGTTCTATTCTCATAAGAGCCCTTTTCATCTCTAGTAAGTGTCCCTTTTCAGGTACGAGAAGCGCCCCTTTTCATATTTGATAAGCGCCCCCTTCACTTCTGATAATTGACCTCTTTGAATCCGAGAGTTGCCCCTTTTACTTTGACTTTGATATTTTCACATGTGCCCCCTTTCCTTTCTAATAAGTGCCCCATTTAAAAAAGAGCCCCTTCCCCTTCTCATAAGTGCCTCTTTTCATCTCTGGTAAATAGCCCTATCAAATTCTGAGAGGTACTCGTTTTACTTTGTCAAGTGCCCCTTTTCCTCCTGATAAGTGTTCTTTTCATCTTCAATAACTGACCCTTTTATTTTGACACGTGCCCCTTTTCCTTCATATTTAATGTTTTTTTTTCCCTTCTTATGAGTGCCCCTTCCTTTCTCACAATTACCCCTTGTCATCTTTGATAAGTGCCCTGTTTATTTTAACATGTGCCTCTTTTTCTTTTTAATAAGAGCCACTTCCCCCTTCTCATAAATCCCCCTTTCACCTCGCGATCGGTACCCCTTTTCAGCACATTTCCCTTTATCATTAAACGTGCCCCCAATTTCAAGCGGCTAAGAGCAATATCCCCAAAGTTCGCTCGCTCGCTCGCTCGCATTTATAGATGTTATAATTATTTACTTAACAAAGGTCTTTTCAGCCTTCTGTTATGTGAATGTAACCCCATCAGGATTGGGTTTTTTCTTCTTTATAAGTAATTGTTCGCACTGCGACCTCACGATTTTTTTTTTTTTTTTGCTCGCTTGCAAATGAATTCTCAGACCATCACACCCAAGTGCAAGGTACGATGTACAAAGATAAAAAAAATATTGAAATCATCCCTGATAATGTAATCGCAATATAGGGTTAGGCTTATATGCCAATGTCTAAATAGTTGTATATTTTCGCTTTGAGATTTCCCTTTGTAGGCGCCCTTTTTTTCTAGAATGTGCCCTTTTTTGTTGGTGCCCCCCGCCCCCCCCCCCCTCTATTTTGGAACTCGCTTCGCCGCCTCTGGTAAGGAGCGATGGGTATATCACTTTTTAATTCTGGTAAAGTATTTGATTTTCATGGGAACAGAACGGAGCTTATCTATAACAATGGATGAAATTAAACGCAGGTTCAAAGAAAATCTTTGGCATTGATGAGAAATAAATTTCCCCTATATCTGTGTAAATTGGAAAACTGGGAAGTTTAAGGGAAAGCGAGGTAGAGGTGGAACGAAGTCAACAACTTTAAATGTTGACAATGTAAAGAAACCTTAACCAGAAAGCATTCCCTATCCACACAAATAGAAGGGAGGGGAGGGGGAAGGGAGATGGGTAAGAGGGAAGGGGGGGGGTAAGTCCAAGGAGTAAGAGAAGGGGAAAGGAAGGGAAAGGGTTTTGGGATAGATCGTGTTTTAATAAAAGAAAACTAAAAAATTTCAATTCTGTAAAATAATATTTTGAGAAATATGAAACTCATTTTTTTTTTTTAAGTATTCAGTTTTTTTTCTGAAAAAACATTGCTTTGTTCTATTTTAGGGGTTGAAATAACTGTCTAGTGCGCCGGGTAATATCTTTCTATCATGTGATTGTGATATATTTTCGTCCTATACAGTGCGTCCCAGAAAAAACGAAACCGAGAAGTATCGATGTTCTATCAT